TGGGGACACAAAAAAGTGGAGAGAGTGGAGAGAGGTGATAACTGGTAAGTAAACATGAAAACCTTCAGGGAGTATGTGGAGATGGGGCCGGAGGCAAAAGGAGTGGTCAAGGGTGAAACCTAGGCTTTTGGCTCTCCCCTAATACAACAGTGTGACCTCGAGTTGTTCATTAAACCTCTATGTTGTTGTAATTGTCTGTGAAACTGGTTTAATGCATGACTACCAACTTCCAAGGATTCATATTAGGCTCAAATGAGACACTACATGTGAAGGTGCTATGAAAATTAAATGTTAATTACATGATATGAATGCAGTGACAGTTTACTGAATACCTTCTATGTCTGTCACAAGACAACATATGTTACACATGCAATCTCATTTACTTTTCTCTAAGATGTAACTGGCTCCTACTTTATAGATTAGAAAATTGAGTCCAAAAAGTTACGTAACTTGTCCAAGGTCACATACTGGTAAACATTGCAAAACTAGAATTCAAACTCAAATTGTTTGACTCGAGAATTCTTTCTAATACACCACCTTGCCTCATTAGGGTTCTTTCCTTAAAATGTTCTTCTTCATTGAAATTCCTTCTGAATCAAATAGCTAAACACCTGCTGTTACCTCAGTTTCTTCAATCACAAACTAAAATGGATCTTCTCCCAAAATATGACATTTTGCTTGAAATTCTCCAAAAGACATTCTAGAGTTCTCCCAATCTTTACATGCATTAGCATACAAGAAACAGTCCCTTGCTACTCTGTTTTGTATCATATAATGTAAATAATTAGTTTGAAAATATGATAACCAAGACTAGTAAAATGACATATGTAAATAGACTCCAGAGGAATCATGAGAATCCTTCTGTTTTGCTGCCTTTGTCTAATGCCTGATATGATGTTAGTGGAGATGTCTAATTTAAAACGCTGATATTTGCCCTGGCCAGTTTGGCTCAGCAGTTGGAGCATCTGCCAGCCAACCAAAGAGTCGCAGGTTCGATTCTGGTCAAGGGCACGCACCTCGGTTGCAGTTCATCTCAGGCCCTGGTGGGGTCATGGGGGAGGCAGCCAGTCGATGTGCCCCTCTCACCCAGATGTTTCTCTCTCTCTCCCTTCTCCTCCCTCCCACTCTATCTGAAAATAAATGGAAAAAATATCCTCAGGTGAGAATTAAAAAAAAAAATTTAATGCTGATATTTGTTCATTGTGAATTTTTTGCATTAATTTTGATTTTTGAAAACTATTACATTAGCTCTGGCTGGATAGTTCAGTTGGTTAGAGCATCATCCTGATACACCAAGGTTGCAGGTTTGATCCCTGATCAGGGCACATATAAGAACCAACCAATGAATGCATGAATAAATGCAACAACAAATCTGTTTGTTTCTCTCTCTCCCTTCCTCTCTTTCTAAAATCAATTTACAAATTTAAAAAAATATTGTGTTAAAATATTATTGATCTCAATTACTGAGCTTTTAGTGCCCCTTAAATTTTGCACCTCAGAAGAAAGTCTTTCCACTTCCCCTTTCCCTACCTGCAAGCAGATGCCTGAAATTCTACAATCTTCATCTCTGTTCACGTCCCCACATATATCTCTAATGGCAGTTAAGCAAATCTGCTTACACAGCAAGTAACATCAAGAGTCTCCTATTGTGTTATGCTATTACTCAAACTTAGATAGATGCTTTTTGATTTTCCAATACACAAATCCAAGTAAAAGCATTATATACCGGGATATTCGCTGCTGCCTGAATAGCAGAAGACTGGGAACAACCTAAACATCAACCAGTAGGTGACTGGTTAATCATGTCATTCTTACAACAAACATCATTCAGCTGTCTATAAGAACAAGAAATCCCTGCCCTGGCCAGTTTGGCTCAGCAATTAGAGCATCGGCCTGAGGACCAGAGAGTCCTGGGTTCGGTTCCCACTAAGGGCAGGTACCTTGGTTGCAGTTTGTCTCCGGCCCCGGTTGGGGTCATGTGGGTAGCAACCACTTGATGTGTCTTTCTCACATCAATGTTCCTCTCTCTCTCTCCCTCCTGCTCTATCTGAAGATAAATGGAAAATAAAAATGTCCTCGGGTAAGGATTAAAAAAAAGAATAAGGAATCCCTGTATTGATATGGTACAATCTTCAAGATAAGAGTATAATACACCGAACTGTGTGGAGAAAAAATGCTCTTATTTATACATATGTATTTATTTATAAATTCAGAAAGCATCTGGGGAAATTCAGAGCATCTAAAGGTCACTTGTGGCCCAGCCAGTGTGGCTCAGTGAATTGAACGTCATCCCATGGACTAAGAGGTTCCGGCTCGATTCCCCGTCAGGGTACATGCCTGGGTTTTGGGCTTGATCCCCAGTAGGGAACGTGCAGGAGGCAGCTGATTCATATTTCTTTCTCACATAGATATTTCTCTCTCTCATCCTCCCTCTCTCTCTAAAAAATAAAAACATTGTAAAAAAATAAGTAAATAAAATAAAGGTAACTTGTGCTTGTCCAAGGAAGATACACCAGAGAGAGGAAGACAACTTTTACCATATACCCTTTGGCACCTTTTGAATTCAGAACAATTTTCATTATTATCTATAAAAGTAAAATATAAAACATTACTAAATACCTGGTACTCAAGGGGACTGAATACTCTTGTAGACATCTTTAAGAATTTTTCTGTCTTAAAAATAGAGTCCTCTCTTGCCCTGGCCAGTTTTGCTCAGTGGTTAGAGAGTCGGCCCATGGACCAAAGAGTTTTGGATTCAATTCCAGTCAAGGGCACGTACCTCAGTTGCAGTTCGGTCCCTGTCCCTGGTCAGGGTCATGTGGGAGGCAACCAGTCGATGTGTCTCTCTCACATTGATGTTTCTCTCTCTGTCCCCCTCCCTCCCACTCTATCTGAAGATAAATGGAAAAAAAAAAAAGAGTCCTCTCAAAAAACTGGACACCTGCCCTGGCCGGTTTGGCTCAGCAGTTAGAGCGTCGGCCTGCGGTCCCGAGAGACCAGGGTTCGGTTCCCGCTAAGGGCACGTACCTCGGTTGCAGTTTGTCCCTGGCCCTGGTTGGTCGTGCGGGTGGCAGCCACTTGATGTGTCCCTTTCACATCGATGTTTCTCTCTCTCTCTCCTTCCCACTCTATCTGAACAAAAAATGTCCTCGGGTGAGGATAAAAAAAAAAAAAAAAAGTAAAAAAAAAAAAAAAAATGGACACCATTGTTCAATCAAGTGTGAGTTTTCAAACCTGCCTTGAGGGCCTAAGGCCTCAGCAGTGTGTTCTGGGTCTGAAGGGTGAACTGACTCTTGCTTCACTTCAACTGCCATCGCACCAATCCTATAGCTTTCTAAAGGTATCTAGCACTTTCTACCTTGCATTTATTATATTGTTTCATTTTCCCTAGGCCTAAACCACCTAGGATATTAGGCGAGGGTCCTGTTTATGTAAGAAACATCCAAATTTTAAAAAACACATTTTTATGAGTTTATTTGAAACAAGCTGACAACATACACTGGGAAGCAAGATCTCAATGGATTGAGAAAGGCTCCAGAGAGTGGCAGTTTTGCAGCTTATTCTATACATTATAATTAAGGAGGACAGTAAGGAAGGTTACATGAAACCCATTGGTGGTGGATTAGTGAGGTGGAAGGAAACATAGAAGGGAAACCTCTAGGATTGAATAAAAGGCAACATGGAGAAACACATATTTCTTTTACATTGGTGGGTAAAGGATAGGTAATAACTAACATTTATGTCACCTTGGCTGATGTGGCTCATTTGGTTAAGCGTCCTCCCCATTGCACCCAAAGGTTCCTGGTTTGATTCCGGGTCAGGACACATAACCCTGTTGGGGACTCAATCCCAGGTAGAGGGTGTGCAGGAGGCAGCCGAAAGATGTTTCACTTTCACATCTGTGTTTCACCCTTTCTCTCTCCCTCTCCCCAAAAATCAATAAAAATGTATTTTTAAATTAACATATATAACACAAAAAGATGGTATTTGAGGAACAAGAAATTGAGGGCTTCTGTGGTCTGCGCTCTGGTGCCAGCAGTTTTACCTTCCACGGGCAGGAAAGGACATTTCAAAGATATGTTATCCTAGTCCGGGCCGGTTTGGCTCAGTGGTTAGAGTGTCCACCTGCAGTCCAGAAACCCGGGTTCGGTTCCCACTAAGGGCATGTACCTCGTTGCAGTTTGTTCCCGGCCCTGGTTGGTCATGCGGGTGGCAGGCACTTGATGTGTCCCTTTCACATCTCTCTCTCTCTCGCTCTCCCCCTCCCACTCTACCTGAAGGAAAAATGTCCTCACGTGAGTTTTTTAAAAAAAGAAAAAAGATATGTTATCCTAGATGCATAAGAACAATGGACAGAACTCACTTAAGTAAGTATTGTCCGCTGCTAAGGAAGCTATATAGGCCTGGGATGTGACCACCTGCTATGAACTGCCCGGTTAGTAATTTGTGATCAGACCATCCTATGGGGTTACTTTTGGTCACTGAGCTTGTCAGGCCTGCCACGTGGCCCGCTAAGCTTGACAGGCTTACTGCACAGCCCCCTTTTCTTTCACAGCCCTTATTAGACTCGTTACAGTATCACCACAGGACCTAGGACATTGCCAAGCACACCGTGTACAGTCCAGAAAACGCTGATAACAGGCATAAAAGGGAGGAAACAAGGCAAAATGCGGGAGCCGGGCAGGGAGAAAGCCCACCCTACACCCCGCAGTCAGAGACCTCCAGGAAATAGCGCCCGCACCCTAGTAACGTCCAGACGCGCCTGGCCCACAGCCTCCGAGTCGGGACCGCAGAGCTGGGCCCCGGCCCGTGGTAACACGAACCGCGGGAGCCCTACTGCCGAAGTAACAGGCCCCTCCCGTGCGCAATGGCGCCGTAGCCCCGGCGCGAGAGGCGGGGCCGCAGGACTGAGACCCAATGAGCGGCGCCGGCGGCCCCGCGGCCCAATGGTGGCGGCGCGTGGGCACGCTGGAGGCGGGCAGGGCGCGCCCGACTTTTCCAGAAGACCCGGATAGCGCCTCCCCGCCACGCTGAGCCAGCTTGGGGCATTCTTTGCGGCGGGTCTCCTCCTCTGCTGGCTAAGCCATGGCGGCCGTGAAGACCCTGAACCCCAAAGCCGAGGTGGCCCGAGCCCAGGCAGCGTTGGCGGTCAACATCAGCGCGGCCCGGGGGCTGCAGGACGTGCTGAGGACCAACTTGGGGCCTAAGGGCACCATGAAGATGTAAGGCGGGGCCGGAGGGGAGGGCCGGGCGGGCACCGCGCTCCTCGCGCCGCCACCGGTCTGATACCGGAGTCGTGGTCTGGAGCCCGCCGCCTCCGGGCGCTGCGGCCCGTTTTCCCGCGTTCTCCCTGGTCGGGCCTGTTTCCTGCCCCGGCCATTTCCTCTTGTAGTTGGTGCAGTCTCCGCGGAGAACAAAGCTGCCCGCGTGCGCCGCGCTCCCTCGTGCTCTGGGACTCCAGCGACCCTGGGCGCTCCGCTGACTTTCTTAGGCGGGAGGGGGTGGGCACTGCACCATTCCTATTTCCGGGAGGAGAGGACCGACCCCAGGGCCCCAACTCCTTAGGACCTGGGTAAAGCACGGGTTTGGGGGAGTCACTTTGGTCTCCGCTGAAAAAGTCACACTGATTCATTTCTGCCTATTGAACAGGCTTGTTTCTGGTGCTGGAGACATCAAGCTTACTAAAGATGGCAATGTGCTTCTTCATGAAATGGTGAGAGGCCGCAGTACTAGGTCAAAAACGTCTTCGTTTTCCGTGTTACATTTGATTTGTAGGAAGATCTTTAATATTTATTCCCAAGGTAGGAAGACATCATATTCATTACTCCTCAGCAGGAAGTCTTCAGACCGTGGAAGTAGTAGAAAAGAAATGTAATCAGGAATAGTAGTCACAGCAGTACAGTGAGGAGCCCTATAGTCTTCTTGTTTTTTAATTCCTACTCCTGAGCGATTAAGGCCTGGTTAAAGGACTGTAATTATTAAAATTAATTCTAATAAAATCTGAAAAATGAAGTGGTTGACATGATCAGATAGGCAAAATGAGATAGTTTATACTTTTTCTCTTTTTATTTTCATTATATATTTTTTATCCTCACTCGACATTTTTTGCATTTATCTTCAGATAGGGAGGGAAGAGAGAGAGAGAGAAATAAACAGTGTAAGAGAGACACATCTAGTGGTTGCCACCCACACGACCCTAACCAGAGCAGGGACAAACTGCAACGGAGGTGCGTGCCCTTAGAGGGAACCGAACCCAGGACTCTGGTCCGTTTGTCGATGCTCTAACCGCCAAGCCAGGGCTCTCTTTTTAAAACAGCGATCAGATTTTTCTATTACATCTTATCTTTCCACCTCCAGCTGAAGGGGAGATAAATCTCTGCTTAACCATTTTAAAAGTCCCAGTGACCAAGAATATGAGATTATTGAGAGGATCGATTGTTTTATTTACTTTTAAATATTGTATTTATTTTCTTTCTCACCTGAGGATATTTTTTCCATTGATTTTTAGAGAGAGTGGAAGAGAAGGAGGGAAACATCGATGTGAGAGGGGCACATGGATTGCTTGCCTCCTGCATGCACCCCAATCAGATTGAATGTACCCAGATACTGTCCTTGACTGGGAATCAAACCCAAGACCCTTGCTGCCCAGGCCTATGCTAGACTGAGCCACACCAGCCAGGGCAAATTTTTTAATTTAAATCATTTTTTAATTTTCAGGATCAATTGTTTCTACATTTCTAAATTCTCCAAACTTAGCAGTTTATTTTATTTTTTATCCTCACCCGAGGACATTTTTTCATTTTTTGTTCAGATAGAGTGGGAGGGAGAGAGAGAGAGAGAAACATCGACATGAAAGGGACACATCGAGTAGCTACCTCCTGCATGACCCAGCCAGGACCTGGGACAAACTGCAACCGAGGTACGCGCCCTTAGCGGGAACCAAACCCGAGTCTCTCTGGACCGCTGAGCCAAACTAGCCGGGGCCAAACTTAGCAGTTTAAATCCAAGAAAAGGAAATGACTTGCCTGTGTTTTGAGTTCAGAATAAAATTTTGGGTTCTGAAAGTAGGGAAACTTATCTTCAGTAAAGACTGGCTAACCTAAAAGGTATAGTTTTTCTTTGTTTTTAGTGGGCCAAATGGTTGCCTATGCTAGCTGAGAACAGTGGGGGTGAGTTTAAACTTAATGTCAGAAAAGTTGTATCTGCATGGCTTTTTAATTTTTACTTGATTTGTTTGAAATTGTAAAATACAACAAACAGAGAAGAACATTAAACATTTATAGTTTAACAAGAAACTATAAAGAAAATAGTGAGAAGTATACAGTATCACCTGTGTAGTGTCAAAAATAGTTAACATCAGCAAATTTAGATAATGAGATAGTCTTCAAGATGACTGGACTGGATTCTTAAAACTGTCTGTGTCACCCTGGCTGGTTTGGTCAGCAGTAGAGTGTCAGCCCATGGACCCATGAGTTGCAGGTTTGATTCCGGCCAAGGCACATACCTTGGTTGCAGTTTGTCCCTGGCCCTGTGGGAGGCAACCGGTCAGTGTGTCACTCTAAGGTCGATGTTTCTCTGTAATGTCTCCGTCTCACCCTGTCTCTCCCTCTCACTCTATCTGAAGATAAATGGGAAAATATCCTTGGGTGAGGATTTAAGAAAAAAACTGTCATTGTCCCCAAAGACAAAGGGCTGGGAACTGTTCTAGATTAAAGGTGAATGGGGAGACGTAAAAACCAAAAGCAGTGCAAGGGCCTTGACTGGTTTTACAATTAAGAATCTGTGGACATTTGATGAATATCATGTTCTTCCAAAGCTTTTCCATGCAGTGATTTAGCATCCCCTGGTGATCTTTGCTAAGAGGGCTATTTTTTTTTACTTTCTTTTTAATTATTTGGTCAGTGCCAAGTAGTACTGGAGGCTGCTGGGCTTTCATTTTAGAAGGCACCTGTTTTATTCCCACAAGAGTCCTAGATTTGTCATAAAGAGGCATGCATAGGATTGAAATTATGTGTTACTGTACTTGTTAGCTCTATCACCTTGAAGAAACTTGAAATGAACCTCAAATTTTCTTATCAGTAAGTTGCAAATAATTGAGAAGTAAACAAGATTTATACATGAAAATGTGTAAAATAACTAATGGATAGTTTTTGTTGTTGTGTTATCCTCACCTGAGGACCTTTTTTTTTGCATTTATCTTCAGATAGAGAGGGAGGGAGAGAGGGAGGAAAAGAGAGAGAGAAACATCAACAGGAGAGAGAGACATTGACTGGTTGCCACCCACACAACCCCAACCGGGGCTGGGGACAAACTGCAACCTAGGTATGTGACCTTAGTGGGAACCGAACCCAGGACTCTCTGGTCCGCAGGCCGACGCTCTAACCGCTGAGCCAGACTCGCCACGGCAAATGGTTAGTTTTTAATCAAAGTAATAGTATAGCTTAACAATTGGGCGATTTGTGTACATAGCTTTTCATAAGGGGACCTTTCACACATTTTAAGGTATACTTGGATTGTTTTAAGTTACTTAATTTTTATTTATTTTTTTATTTTTTTACTTTTCAGCAAATTCAACACCCAACAGCCTCCTTAATAGCCAAAGTAGCGACAGCCCAGGATGACATAACTGGTGACGGTACCACCTCCAATGTCCTAATCATTGGAGAGCTGCTGAAACAGGCGGATCTCTACATTTCTGAAGTATACATGATTCTTAAGCTTCTGTGATACTTTATTGTGCATAAGAAATAATCTGAGTTTTGTTTATATAAATTGATGTGTAATAGTAGCTGAGGCCATAGAATGTGAAGAGCAGGGGCTTAGATCTGGGAACCAGAGTCTTGATCTTGGTCTGACACAAATTTATTGTGATCTTGAACAAGTAAAGGAACTTTCCTTGGCCTGCAAGGTTTTTTTTTTTATCAAGTTGCATTGCATATATGATTTATATCTGTCTATAATGTAGATTAGAACTTAAGATCCAAAAGTGGGATGTTCAGGACTAGGCATATTTATAAGGAAAAAGCCAGCCAAAAACTTAAATAAAAATTCTGTAACTTTTTTGGCCCTGAGTAGTTCCAGGGTTAAAGCAAACCTTAGTAAATACTAATCTGATATTAGGAAGAACGTCCTGGGAAAACAGAGGAAACAGAATCTTAGTCTCCCTGTCTACTTTTTATTAGTAAATGATAGGAATTTATTTCAGATTACCAATAGAAAAGATATAATAGACCCATTGATTGTAGGTTGTTGTGACATACTGAATTTTTGTTACTATTCCGTGCAGTTTGCACAGTGAACACCCAAGTGTGCTTTATAGTTCCCTTGGCTTTGACTCTGTGCTAGAGTAACGTCTGTTCTTTTTCCTCTGCATTGAAAGGACTGTTTATCCTTTTAAATGTATTCAGAAAGTCAGCACATTATATTGTATTAAAGGGTATGAATAATCAAGAATAAATCTTCAAAAATGTACTTATCATGAACTATAGTTGCATCTAATAGAAGAACTCCAGGGTTAGGGGTGGTTTTGTAATGGTGTCTTTATTATAGGGTCTTCATCCCAGAATAATAACAGAAGGATTTGAAGCTGCAAAGGAAAAGGCACTTCAGTTTTTGGAACAAGTCAAAGTAAGCAAAGAGATGGACAGGGAAACACTCATAGATGTGGCCAGAACATCTCTGCGTACTAAAGTTCATGCTGAACTTGCTGATGTCTTAACAGAGGTATGTGTTTAATTAAAAACCCCTGATTTTAGAAACATCAGTATACTTAACCAATTTCAGCTATAGGGTACTCTCTGAAGTCCTAATAGTATCATGCTGTGAAATAAGTAGGTTGTTTTTTGTTTTTGTTTTTGTTTTTTTGTGGCAATGATAATCTATCTGATCTCTGTCCCTAAAAAGTAAAATGCGAAAATCAAATAATCGTGTACTTGACCAGGTTATAAAGATAGAGTCAGAGCTTTCATTAAAAGGTTTATTAAATGGAGATTTTGTTGTTAAAAAAGCTTAACTGTTATCAGTGTTTTCAATAAAATAGTAGGAGGAATGTCAGTGATTCTTTAGGTAATGACAAATTGAGATTTCAGAAATGTAAATGACGCCCAGCTGGTGTAGCTCAGTGGTTGAGCATCGACACATGCACCAAGAGGTCTCAGGTTCTGTTCCTGGTTAGAACACATGCCCAGGTGTGGGCCAGATCACCAGTGGGGAGCATGCAGGAGGTGGCCAATTGATGTTTTTCTCTCTCTCGCCCTCTCACTTCCTCTCTCAAATCAATAAAGGGGAAAATAGCACTAAAAAAAAGGAAGTATAAATGACTTCAGCCCTTTGCAGATAAGTATTCTGTTAGTTCATAGAAAAAGACTTAGATCAATTCAAAAGATTTTAAAATTGAAACTGTCTAACTTCTGCAGAACAAGTTAACATAAGTATCTTGACTTCTGCAAATCAAATTCATTTAATGGTTATACCCTTATTTTAGGCTGTAGTTGACTCCATTTTGGCCATTAAAAAACAAGATGAACCTATCGACCTCTTCATGGTTGAGATCATGGAGATGAAACATAAATCTGAAACTGATACAAGGTAGGTGGTGCAATACTGTGAAATACTTATAGTGTGTTTACAAATTTACAGGCATGTTATACAACACATTTTTTTAAATTAATTTATTTTTTATTAATTAATTTTTGTTACAGATGTTTCTCCTTTTTCCCCCACTGATTCCCCCCTCCCCCTCCCTTCCTGCCCTTTCCCTAGTTTGTTGTCCATGTCCACTGTTCATGCATACATGCATATAAATTCTGTGGTTTATCTCTTCCCCACCACCCTACAACACATTTTTTTGGCTGTTTGGTTTTTTTTCTTCAAATTAATATGTATTGCCTAGATGAGTTTTTAATATACTCAGTAATATTTATTCTTGAGGTTAATGGTGTAATGTGTTTATAATCAGAATGATTCAGAAAAGTGAGCTACATCAGTTATTTGGCATTTATTTCAAAGGTCTAGTTTGAAAACATTAAAAAAAAAAAAGACTTTAAAACAATTTGATAATCCACTGGTTGAGACATTTTCTCTGCAGAATTTTTCGTACAAGATAAAATTGTTTTTGTCTTGTTCTGGAATATTGCTTTTTCAAATTGAGCCTACCTAGGTTTCACCCAAAAGTCTTATTCAAATAACTCAAGAAATTAAGCTGATTGTGTGAAAATTGTTAATACATTGTCTCAGATCCATGTTTTAATTTTGTTAGCGTATGCTACACCATCTGAAAGTCAATAATATGATTATTTCAATATATTTTTTAGTTGTAGTTAACAGATGATATATTAGTTTAAGGTATATAACATAGTGATAGATGTTTATATACTGTACTTTATGAAGTGAGTACCATACTCTTTTATGTGTTTTAACAGCTTAATCAGAGGTCTTGTTTTGGACCACGGGGCACGGCATCCTGATATGAAAAAAAGAGTAGAAGATGCATACATCCTCACATGCAATGTGTCATTAGAATATGAAAAAACGTGAGTTTAGATCCTCCTGCAAATGAAATTGGTTGGTATTTTGGGCAAGTCACTTCTTTCTGAGACTCATTTTCTCTACTGTATGGACAATAATGCCTCAGTTGGGTTTGGGGAATTCTAGGAACTAAACTCACAATATACCAGGGGCAGGATTGGAATTAAGTGACTAATTTGTTAAATAAAGACTAACCCAGTTTGAGACTGCTGGCTTATCTTCTCAAAAAATAAACATTCGCCCTCTCACCCCTTTGTATTTTTTTCTAATAGAGAAGTGAATTCTGGCTTTTTTTACAAGAGTGCAGAAGAGAGAGAGAAACTAGTAAAAGCTGAAAGAAAATTCATTGAAGATAGAGTTAAAAAAATAGTAGAACTGAAAAAGAAAGTCTGTGGCGACTCAGATAAAGGATTTGTTGTTATTAATCAAAAGGTGAGAATGAATTTTGCTTTATAAATTAGTCTGAATCATCCGTTTTTATTTTTCAGGTGAAATATATTGAAACTAATTTTTTTGTTGTTACAGGGAATTGACCCATTTTCCTTAGATGCTCTTGCAAAAGAAGGCATAGTAGCTCTGCGCAGAGCGAAAAGAAGAAATATGGAAAGGTACAGATAGCAGATCACCTGAGCAATGTGAATTTTTGCAGGTTAAATAGGATTATTCCTTTTTCTCCCTCTACTTATTTATTTTCTTTATTGATGTTAGAGAGAGGAAGGATGAGAGGGAGAGATAGGAACATCAATGAGAGAACATCGAATGACTGCCTCCTGCATGCCCCGCCCCCCCAATCAACCACTGAGCCACACTTGCGGGGCTGTATTGTGTGTGTGTGATAAAATACACATAATACAAAATTTATCATTTTCTCATTTTTATAAGTGTAAAAAAGATTCAGTGGCATTAAGTTACATTCATATTGTGTGCAACCATCACTATTACCCATTTTCAGAACTTTTTCATCATCTCAAACTAAAAGTATACCCATTAAACAATTAGTCTCATCTTTTCTTCCCCATACCCCTTTCCCTGTAAATACTCTTCTATTTTCTGTCCCTGTGTATTTGGTACCTCATACAATAATTCCCCTTTTGTGTCTGATTTATTTCACTTAGCATAATGTTTTCAAAGTTTATTTGTGATGTAGTATGTATTAGAATTTCATTCCTTTTTATGGACAAATATTTCATTGTATGGATAATATCACATCCTTGTTTATCAACTCAGTGGGTATTTAGGTTTCTACCTTTTGACTATCATGAATAATGCTGCTATGAACATTGTTTTATACTTATTTTATTATTTTAATTTTTTTATTGATTTTAGAGAGGATGGGAGAGGAAGAGAAAGATAGAAACTTTGATGAGAGAGAATATCGATTGGCCGCCTCCTGCATACCCCCACTGGGGATTTGGCCCACAACCTGGGCATGTGCCCTGACTGGGAATTAAACCAGCAACCTCTTGGTGCATGGGTTGATGCTCAACCACTGAGCCACACTGGCCGGACTATACTTGTTTTGTTTTATTTTATTATTATTATTTCTTTATTAAGAGAGAGAGAGAGAACCATTGATGAGAAAGAACATCAATTGGTCACCTCTGCATTCTCCCCACCAGGGATTGGGTCCACAACCTGAGTATGTGGCCTGACCTGGAATCAAACCAGTGACCTCTTGGTGCATGGGTTGATGCTCATCCACTGAGCCATACCAGCCTGGCAACTTGTTTATTTTATTTTATTTTTTTATCCTCACTCGAGGACACTCTTCCATTCTTTGTTCAGATAGAGTGGGAGGGAGAGAGAAGAAGAGAGAGAGAGAGAAACAGCGACCTGAAAGGGACACTTCGAGTGGTTGCCACCCGCATGACCCAACCAGGGCCGGGGACAAACTGCAACTGGGGTATATGCCCTTAGCGGGAACTGAACCCAGGACTCTCTGGACCGCAGGTTGATGCTCCAATTGCTGAGCCAAACCAGCCAGGGCAAACTTGTTTTATTTTTAAAACATGACATATGCTGTACATATTTTTCCATGTCCAGAGGATAGCATCAAGGGGTTTTAGAGAAATACAGGAAAGAACTCTTGTAGACCTTTCGATTTTGTATCAGAGGAGTATTTGCTGACTTGGGGAGAGTGATTTAAATGGAGGGCTAGGAGAAAAGTCTGATTTTCAGCTGGTGGTTGGTAAATGGAAAGGTTTAAGTTAAAGTGCATTTTAGAATATAATTTTAGTATGTAATTCTGAAAGATTGCTTTCTAAAAATCATTCTTTTCTTTAAACATAATTAATAAAAATAATTTACATCTTCTTAAAATATTTCAATATTTCAGGCTGACTCTTGCTTGTGGTGGGATAGCTCTAAATTCTTTTGATGACCTAAATCCTGATTGTTTGGGACATGCAGGACTTGTCTATGAATATACCTTGGTAAGTGTATTTTCTTTCCAAAGATAATACTTACTGGTTTATGAATTCTTAAGTAGTAAAAACTTATTCGAACTTGGGATAAGATTGATGCTTTGTTTACATACATTTAAATGGTATGTGTATGTGTAGCAATGATACTCCTTTGGTGGGAAAGTCACATTTCTTTTATGTGTGATCCATCCCCCCACCCCCAAATTGCTTTAATATGATTAAGTGTTTTCTGTTAATAAATGCCATTTATCATTTCTTCTCTGATAATTGTACAGCCATGTCTTGTTTTTTGAAAATATTCTCTTTACATAGGGAGAAGAGAAGTTTACCTTCATCGAGAAATGTAACAATCCGCGCTCTGTCACATTATTGGTCAAAGGACCAAATAAGCACACACTCACTCAAATCAAAGATGCAATAAGAGATGGCTTGAGAGCTGTTAAAAATGCTATTGATGATGGTAAGAACCTCATTTTATTCAAACTATATTCCTTTTGCTAGTCTGAAAGGCATGGCTGAATACTGTGTTCTTTTATTCGGTAGTTTACACAGCCAGACACCATGCAAAAGTAAAGTCTTCCCTTTGAAATGGCTATGGTGGTATGCCAGGTTTCTTCATGGTATATCATTACTAAAAGTGGATACAAATAAATAAGCACTTGTAAGAGCTTCTAAGTGCTATCTAAATGGAATCACGCTATTTGATATGTTGCTTGTATTTTTTTCAAATGCAATATTAGAATTGATGTGGTTATACTGAAGTCTCAAGAAGTTAATGGCTTTCATGTATGTGTGTTTTAATTTATGTTTTCTTGTAATTTTACAGTTTTCTTCGTAGCTTAGCATTTTGTCTTTTCTCCCCACCCACCCAACAGGCTGTGTAGTTCCAGGTGCTGGTGCAGTGGAAGTGGCAATGGCAGAGGCCCTGATTAAACATAAGCCCAGTATAAAGGGCAGGGCCCAACTTGGAGTCCAAGCATTTGCTGATGCATTGCTCATTATTCCCAAGGTCTGACTACTTCAACAGTTAATTTTCTAAGATACACCAAAATGATTTAGTTGATGAATGTGAAAGCTTTTTGATAATGTGGTTTTTTTCATAATGTGGATTTTGAATAAGTTTGATCAGTTTTCTCCCTAACACTAGAACATCCAAAATGTATTTGGTTTCCCTGGAAAGGAAACTTGAATATCTGAAGTTTCATATGGCAAGAGATAACTATTTTAATAGGGTTTAAAAGGTAAAAGGGGATAAAATGGAGTATAAGCTTGCTTTTTGTTTAAGTTAAACTGCAATTGATAGTTATGATTTTCTATTGAATATCAATTGGATATACTGTTTATTTATTGTGTACTTGACTATCAGTTCTTAGGTTTTGTATTTTAAAGGATTAAATTTGTTTGCTTTAGGTTCTTGCTCAGAATTCTGGTTTTGATCTTCAGGAAACACTAGTTAAAGTTAAAACAGAACATTCAGAATCAGGTCAACTTGTGGGTGTGGACTTGAACACAGGTAAGAGAATGCAATTATTTGTAGGGGGAAAACTGGGCAATATAGGTGAGGGTAAAGTCAGGAAGAATCAAAAGACTATTGGGGAGTTGTTTTACAGTTTAATGTTAGTCCTACCTGTGAACTCTGGTTTCTAAAATAATGGTATAAAATGGAATGACTAGATATAGTAATTAAGGGAATTGATTATATACATTTGAATAGTTTCAAAGAGTATGGATTTGTTGATATTGCTGAGTGGTGGTAGGTGGTTCAGGTTAATATTGAAAGGTTTCATATTGGGTTTACTTTCCTCGGTTTTTTATCAGAAACTTTGGTAAGAATAAATTAGGTGATCATGTTCACTGGTTTTAAAAAAAAAAAAGCTGAGGATAGCAAATAATGCTGGAAGAGGGGACCAAATGTAATTAAATGTTTAAAGCCCTGTCTTAGACCAGTGTAAGAGCACAAATTATATAAGTACAAAGTGGAAGAGATAACTGAGATACATCCAATCAATGTAAGACGTATTGGCAACAGCATCATTTACATTTAAGTTAATAAAAATGGTTTCTGGAATGAGGAAAATGATAAGCCCATTTTGCCCAGATTATAGTTCAAGTGCTATTATTTAATATGGACAAATGTGTCCAGAAAAAACAAGATATTCATACATTTGGTAATGAAATAGAGCTTTTCCTATCACTTGAAGTCTTTTCAGTAGAGATTGGTCACTCATCTAAGATACTATGCACAGGAATTACGGTTTGGAGTACAAAAGTGGACTAATTGAGGAACTTTAGGTTCTCATAGTCAATACTGGAGGAAAGTAATCAATGATAAGCAAAGCAGCCCAAAATACTCTGTTCTTTTAGACAGCATTCTGATCTCATGACCTGCTATGTATGATTTTAAGACTACTGGATTACTTTTCAGGTGAGCCAATGGTAGCAGCAGAAGTAGGCATATGGGATAACTATTGTGTAAAGAAACAGCTTCTTCACTCCTGGTAAGTTTGGGAAAGCCAAAACTAAAATAACCTTTAGGTAGTCATCATACTCTTAATTTGGTGTATTCTGTTTTATTTCTCCTCCCATAAAAATGTAAGAAAACAAGAGTAGAAATGAAAGTTGACTTTTATGTATGGAGGGGGAAAGGGAAATTTAATTGGATGTAATTTGCACAGTTTAGTTGGAAATTGAGTTGGATTAGGGTTCCTATCTGAAATCTGAGCCATCTGACTTCTCCCCCTTTCAGCACTGTGATTGCTACCAACATTCTTCTGGTCGATGAGATTATGCGAGCTGGAATGTCTTCTCTAAAAGGTTGAATTGAAGCTTCCCTTGTATTACCTGAATCATGAAGACTCTACTGAGAGATCCTAAGAATACAGCTGTGGAATTTTTGTCCTAGCTTCAAATGATTTTCAAAGGAATTTTCTTTCCCCGGATGAAGAAAGGAGAGAACACTGGCACTACCTACTCAAATTCCAAAGTCTGAAATTGTAATTACAGTATTTTTTAAATTGCACTCAGTGTATGTACAATAAGTAGGCCGTTTTCACCCAATATGCAGAGGATGTTTTGCATTAGCTTCTGTGATACAAAAATACATGTTAGAAAAACATATGTTATCTATCTTATTAAATATTCCTTGAAAAACACATTTTAATGGTTTTTAATAATTCTTTCTAATGATGTATTTTAATTTATCCAATAGTTCCCTATTAAGCATTTAAGATTTTTATGCTAATATAAATAACACTTAAGTAACTTACAGTTTTGAAAGCATTCCTGTTTCCTTAGTACAAATTGCCATGGGTAAAACAATTGGATCTTTTTTTTGTTAATGTTTTCTATTGAATTTTTTAAAAACTCACCCAAGGATTATTTTCCATTCATCTTCAGATAGAGTGTGAGGGAATGAGAGGGACACATCGATTGGTTGCCTCTTGCATGACCCTAACCAGGGCTGGGGACTGAACTGCTGAGGTACATGCCTTTGACCGGAATCAAACCTAAGACTGATCTGCAGGCCAACGCTCTAACCACTAAGCCAAACCAGCCAGGGAGTGGTTTTTTGTTTTTTAAAGAGAAGGGGAGAGAGGGAAAAGTCCATCGGCCACCACCTGCCGCTGCCTACCTGGGATCAAGCCTACAACCCAGGCATGTTCCCTTACAGGGAATCAAACCAGAACCTCTCAGTCCGTGGGAGGGTGTTCAGTTCACTGAGCCACACTAGCAGGGCCAATTGGATCCTTTCGTGGGACTTTTCATGCTTTGAAGTAGCTTTGCTAAAATACTCCCCAGGAAAGTTAAGTGGGAGTGGGTAGAAAGATGGGCGAACTAGAAGAAGAAGGGATTGAAAGAGCTGCAAAAATGAAAATAGAGGAGGCAGGTGTAGATGGCTTGAAAGCATGGTGCCTGAGGGGCTAGTTAAGAGATTTTCAGGTGGAACATATTTTCATACCTCTGTACCGTTGGCTTATGCTGAAATACTCATCCCAAAACCTCCAGTGTCATTTGCCCCCTCAAATTCTAATGTGTTTCCACAAGTTGTTTTTTACATAGTTGGTCTATTCTGTACAGGCTTTGAAGGTGAAATGATGTTGCTAAGCTTTGTATTTCAAGGACTCTGGCAGTTGCCTACAGTGAGTGCAATAAATGTTTAACTTGAAACCTTTTCTGTGATCTTCCATTGGTATCCCAAGGCACAAAAGGAATCTGAATATAAAAGGGAAGGAAGTCGGTTCACAAGGTCGTGAAGGGGGTTCTGAAATGTCAGGGCCTCTCAACATTTAACTGAGAAAGTGGCTTTTTCTTAAATCCAGACCCCAGTCAATGCCTGGGCGTCAGGGCTAATTAAGACCTTTGACAGTAGCTAGAGGATGCACAAGGGGGCGGTGCGCAGGGGCGGTGGCTGACGTGCGTGTGTCGCGCATGCGCAGCAGGGCAGCAGCAGCGCGGCAAGGTGTGTGGACCGAGTTCCTGGTACTGCGGTAGCTTGCATACCCGGCATGAGTTCCTCGCAGCCGCTGCTGACCCTGCTGTCGCTCCTGTCGGGCCTGTGGATCGAGCTAGGTCAGTGTGATGGCTGCCCACCTCCCCCATGGCGCCATTTGTCCCAGGAAGCGTCAGGAAGGGTGGGGGCGCTCCGCCCTGGTGAGACCGTGGACCTTCTGCCCCTTTCTTGGAGCAGCCTGCCTGAGACCTCCCAGAGACTGCTATCGTATTTTACTTTTAATTTATTTTGTAATCTTGCGAGCATAAAGCAGAAGAGCAGACTGTAACTTTAATGATTGCCCAGCTTAAACGGTTGCCAATTTATGGCTAATCTTGCTTCTTTAGTAACCCACTTTCCCCTCCCCTGGGATCATATTGAAGTAAATGCAGGCATTATATAATTTTATTCGTATATAATTCAGCTTGATTAGCTAAAAAGACCAGTCACGGAAAAAATACTATACCAATTTCTGTCTACGAAATTAACATCCAGCTAGTGTTCAGATTGACCTACTATAAGTGTTTTTGTTCTTTTTTTTAATCCTCAGCTGAGGATATTTTTTTTTCCATTTATTTTCAGACAGAGTGGGAGGGAGGGAGAGAGAGAGAGAAACATCAGTGTAAGAAAGACACATCGCCCTGGCCGGTTTGGCTCAGCGGTTAGAGCGTCAGCCTGCGGTCCGGAGAAAGACACATCGACTGCCTCCCGCAGGACCCCAACCAGGGCTGGGGACTGAACCACAAACGAGGTATGTGCCCTTAACCGGAATCAAACTCGAGACTCTGGTCCGCAGGCTGATACTCTGACCATTGAGCCAAACCGGCCAGGGCTATAAGTTTTTTTAAATTATAGTTGTTGAGTTAGTGTCAAAAATAAACTTTATACATTGCAATTATATGTTTTTTTCTTAATTCCCTTTTATTCTGAGATTTTCCTGTTTGCCTCATTTTTTTCCCCTCCTTGAAGTGAATGAAATCATTAGTGTGAGTAGATCGGAATGAGAATAAGAAGAGGACCAAAGATGTGACCCTGAGGAACATGAAAAGACATGGACTCTGCCTTTGAGGAACTGAAGGTTCTCATACATCCTTAGGTAGAAACATAATACCATCAAGTAGTATATCAAGCCAGAGAAGTATGGCCTTTTGGAAATAGCACTGACCTGGAAGTAAAGAGGCCTGGATCTAGGCCTGCCTCCTGCTAACTAGCTCTTTAAGTCACTTTCCTTTTTTGGGGTCCTGGTTTCCCTCCTGTTAAGCAAGAGGATTGAATTAAAGATCCTTTTCATTTGATTTGTTTGAGGCTTTCAAACAGCAAATATGAAGGAGCTCATTCAATTATTTGATGATAATCATTGTGCACTTGTGCTAGGTGCCAGGGATACACTGGCAAAATAGAGTCCTTTCCTTTCTGGAGTACATGATATAATGGTAAGAACTGATGAGAGTTCAACAAGTAGAGAGGAAGAGACAGAGAAACAGCATGAGCAGAAAGAAATATGGGTAGAAAGGAGCTAGATATATTTCAGGGTACAGTCTAGATTTACCTAGCTTGAACAAAGGGGTGTTGTGTAGAGGAATAGAGAGGTAAAGAAATAAACATTTGTTGAAAATCTACCATGTGCTCAACATTTTACATGTTATTTGAATTCATTCAGCTATGCCAATGAGATCAATGCTGTTCTTATTTTATAGATGATGAAATTGAAACTCAGATTAAGTAATTTACCTAAACCTGCAGTGGTTCTCAACCTGTGGGTCGCGACCCCTTTGGCGGTCGAATGACCCTTTCACAGGGGTCGCCTAAGACAACAGTGGCAAAATTACTCTTATGAAGTAGCAACGAAAATAATTTTATGGTTGGGGGGGGTCACCACAACATGAGGAGCTGTATAAAGGGGTTGCGGCATTGGGAAGGCTGAGAACCACTTAGGCTCTAAGGTCACCTGCAAATTAAGTGTCAGAACAAGAATTTAAAGCCATAATTTTAAGCCTTTATTTTTTGTTGATGAATACTCATTTGTTTGTTTGTTTGTTTTGGTACATGCCCCTAGCAGGAACCGAACCTGGGACTCTCTGGTCCACAGGCCAATGCTCCAACCACTGAGCCAAACTGGCCAGGGCATGAATATTCATTTTTATGAGTATTACATACGACCCACAAATTTATTGCTATTCGTTTTTTATATATTCATATATTGCTGATGACACTCTTTTTCTCTCTGCAGGAAATGGGCAGGTGACTAGCATGGTTCAGCTACCAGGTGGGAGATTCCAGATGGGAACAAATTCACCAGATGGCAGAGATGGTGAAGGACCTGTCCGGGAGGTGACAGTAAAACCTTTTGCCATCGACATATTTCCTGTCACCAACAAAGATTTCAGGTATATCAGGTGTTCTTCCAGGAGCAGTAAAAACTTTTTCAAAACTTTATTCTTAATATCTAAAAGGAAACTAACTGTTCACTATCACATATTTTTGCAACAATACTGTGGGCTAAGTATTATCTACATTTTTCAGACAAAGAATCTGAAGCCCAGCCCTGGCTGGGGTGGCTCAGTTGGTTGGAGCATCATCTGTACACCAGAAGGTGGCGGGTTTGATTCCCGGTCAGGGTACATGCCCAGGGTACATACTCGGTTGGGATGTGTACAGGAGACAACCAATCAAAATTTTTTTTCACACCAATATTTCTCTCTCTCTCTCTCTCTCTCTCTCTCTCTCTCTCTCTCTCTCTCTCTCTCTCTGTCTCTCTCTCTCTCTCTCTCTCTCTCTCTCTTCCTCCCTCCCTTCCTTTCCCTTCTTGTCTCTAAAATCAATTTAAAAATAAAATTTAAAGAGGTTTACCCTGCTGTCTGTCAGTGGCAGACTTGGACCTGTAGCTCAAATTCCCTGACTCTTGAGCCAGTGGATTTTCTATTACATTGGGCATAGCACTAAGAAATATGGCCCAAAGTGAAACACTCAACAGAAACCTACAAACCTATTCAGCAGGGGAGAAGGGATTGGGAAAAGGGTCATGCTAGCTGGGAGTGCATTACATTCCCTTTATATTTACTTAGAGAATGGTGGTGTTTTAGGAATCAAACATTGTGCTTCCAGGTCATTCTAAGAAGCCAGGTTGAGCCTTCTTAGTTTCCTCAAGGTGATACGTTTTATAACTTACCTTCAAATGATACAGGGGTGAATATAGAGAGAGGTGGGGGCAGGAGAAAAGGGAGGAAATGGAAAGATAATAAAGCCCATGTGGGAAATGACTTAAATCTTCCATTTGTGGAGTTAGAACTTTTCAAGATAAAGGGTTATAGGGGAAAAGGGATTCAGGAGACACTGAAATAAGCATAGAACTGTTGGCCTACTCCTCAGGCCCTTGGACTCTGATTCCTCCTCTAGGGATTTGTCTTAAGGAAAGAATAAAGTTGTCCAAAAACATTTGGCTAAAAGGATGACATGTAAACAACTATTAACAATTTAAGGATTATTTAAACATTGCCTCAATATAACAGACTACTTAGCCATTTTTTAAAAATTATTTCTCACCCGAGGATACTTTTCTACTTATCCTCAGATAGAGTGGGAGGGAGGGAGAGACAGAGAGAAATATTGACGTGATAGAGCCACATCAGCTGATTGCCTCCTGCACAACCCGACCAGGGCCGGAGACAAACCGCAACTGAGGTACATGTCCTTCACCGGAATCAAACCCACGACTCATTGGTCCGCGGGCTGACGCTCCAACCACAGAACCAAACCAGCCAGGGCTTAGCAGCCATTTTTAAATCCTGTTGTGGACTCTGGTTTCTCTTCAGATTGTATAAATCTTTCACCTTTTAAAATCCTGTTGTCAAAAAGAGTTATGAAATGTTAAGTGAGGAAAGTGGCTTATAAAATAATACATAATGTGTGATCCCACTTTTAAAAACTATGTATATAGACTTGTTTAGCTCAGTGGTTAGAGCATCGACCTGCAGACTGGTGAGTCTCAAGTTCGATTCTGGTCAAGGGCACGTACCTCGGTTGCAGTTCGTCCCGGCCCTGGTTGGGGTTGTGCAGGAGGCAACCAGTCAATGTGTCTCTCTCACATCGATGTTTCTCTCTCTCTCCCTCCCACTCTATCTGAACAAAAATGGAAAGAATATCCTCAGGTGAGGATTAAAAAACAAACAAACAAAAAACTACGTATATAGCCCTGGCCGGTTTGGTTCAGCGGTTGGAGCATTGGCCCGTGGACCAATGAGTTGCGGGTTACATTCTGGTCAAGGGCATGTACCTTGATTGCGGTTTGTCCCTGGCCCTGGTTGGGGTTGTACAGGAGGCAACCAGTTAATGTGTCTCTCTCACATCCATGTTTCTCTCTCCCTCTCTCTCCCTCCCTCCCACTCTATCTGAAGATAAAGGGAAAAATACCCTGGGGTGAGGATCAAAAAAAAAGACTGAATTTTACTGTATGTGAGTTGCTCACACAGCAACAGATTTTAAAAGAAAGTCTCCTGCTCAGGGTTTCAGGTGAATTCCTTGGAGCTCATGAGAACTCTGTGATGTATGACTTACAGGATCTAAGAGGTTTCCTGAAGCAGGAGAGGTGAGGGTGGAGCACAGAACTCTTTCAACTGAACCAAGTGAAACATCTCTTTTCAGGGAGTTTGTCAGGGAGAAAAAGTACCGGACAGAGGCTGAGACGTTTGGTTGGAGCTTTGTCTTTGAGGACTTTGTCTCGGATGAGCTTAGAAACAAAGCGACTCAGCAAATGAAGGTGAGGAAACCTGAGCTTGCAGCTGAGGGAACAGGAGTGGGGCCTGGACATAGAATCCTGTGGGACATGGAGTCACCTGGGCCACAGCAGATATCAAACCTGAGAGCTAGAGAAAGGGAAGACGCGAGAGAAGCCCTCCCTGAAGAGTCAGGTGAACACCACTCCCAGGAAGTGACCTCTGAGCTGGTCTCTGCATAGACTCTGTAAAGACCCAGAGGTATACAGGGTTGAAGATACACCCTGACAAGCCTCCCTCTAATGAGGGTCGTGAGATATCCAGCTTTAAAGATCCCAGACACAGCCTCACTTGGACCACCGGAGCCTTTTCTCAGCTTGAAGTGTCCACTCGCCTCCTGTGTGTCAGTCAGGAAGGTGCCTGAGCTGGGTTCGAGCATCTTGCAGTCATGCTCCTGAGTTTAGTCATGTTCTTTCTTCTTTGTAGCCTGTTCTCTGGTGGTTTCCAGTGGAAAGGGCTTTCTGGAGGCAGGTAAGGCACCTTGTTTTCTACCCTGGAGGGCTGGCTTCCCTAGACCCCTTGCCCATCTAGGAATACTGAGTTTAAAAGGATGACAGAGATGCCCTGGCCAGTTTGGCTCAGCGGTGGAGCGTCGGCCCGTGAACCAAAGAGTCTCAGGTTTGATTCTGGCCAAGGGCACGTACCTTGGTTGCGGTTCGTCCCTGGCCCCTATTGGGGTCGTGCGGGAGGCAACCACTGGATGTGTCTCTCTTACATTGATGTTTCTCTCTCTCTTCCTCCCTCCCTCCCTCCTGCTCTACCTGAAGATAAATGGAAAACTATCCTCCGGTGAGGATTTTAAAAAATAAAAATAAATAAAAGGATGACAGAGAGATCTCAGGAAAATAGCCAGGCAACTGCATTTTCCCTGCCCTGGTTCTTTTCCCATCACCATCTCATTGTTCTCTTGTCTCACCTTTACACTCTTCTTTCTGACCCTGGACCTCTCCTCCCTCACCAGGCCATCTCTGCCAGCTTCCCTGCTTCCTAGTGTTAAAAGCTGAACTCAGGTCCTGGCAGGTTTGGTTCAGTGGCTAGAGCGTTGGGCCATGGACTGAAGGGTCATGGTTCAATTTCCAGTCAAGGGCACATACCTGGGTTGCAGGTTCAGTCCCTAACCTTGATCGAGGTCATTCAGGAGGCAACCAATCAATGTGTCTCACTCACATCGATGTGTTTCTCTCTCTCTCTCACTTTCTCTCTCTCTCCCACCCTTCCTCCCTCCCATTCCATCTAAAAATCATTGTAAATATATCCTTGTGTTAGGATTAACAAAATAAAAAATAAATGACAGTAAGAGCTGAACTCAGGTACCCCAAGCCTAGCCTTCCTCAGACTTCCATGAGCTCCCCGTCTCACTTCGTCCTGTCTGTCAGCCTGCAGGTCCTGGCTCTGGCATCCGAGAAAGACTGGAGCTCCCAGTGGTACACGTGAGCTGGAATGATGCTCGTGCCTACTGCGCTTGGCAGGGGAAACGGCTGCCCACTGAGGAAGAGTGGGAGTTTGCTGCCCGAGGGGGCTTGAAGGGTATAGCGATGCCAAGGCAATTTCCCCTTGTTCTTCTCTCCGTCCTGCCCTGCGTGGGGGCTTTAAAGGGTGGGAAGGGTCCATGCTCCCTAGAGCAGTGCTGCTTAAAGCGTGTGGTGAAGGACCAGTTGCTGTTGTTATTTTAATTTCTGATGTATCTCAGACCAATACTATGTAAACTTCCAGAAAAATTAACCAGAAAATTGGAACAAAAAAAAAAAAACACTAAAAATTGTTTTAGAGTCCACAGACATGTTACATTTAGAAAAATATAATCAGAACAACATAGCATATAGAAAAAGTTATCCAAACCACATGCCTTTTCCATAGGTATATGGGGATGGACATAAAAAATCACTCTTGCCCTGGCCAGTTTGGTTCAGTCGTTAGAGTGTCGGCCTGCCATCCAGAGAGACCCAGGTTCGATTCCTGCTAAGGGCATGTACCTCGGTTGCAGTCTGTCCCTGGCCCTGGTTGGGTCGTGCAGGAGGCAGCCACTCGATGTGTCCCTTTCACATTGATGTTTTTTTCTCTCTCTCTTTCCCTCCCACTCTATCTGAACAAAAAATGGAAAAATGTCTTCAGGAGAGGATTAAAAAATAAATCAGCCCTGGCCGGTTTGGCTCAGCAGTTAGAGCATCAGCCTGCGGTCCCGAGAGACCCGGGTTCAGTTCCCGCTAAGGGCATGTACCTTGGTTGCAGTTTGTCCCCGGCCCTGGTCGGTCGTGTGGGTGGCAGCCACTCAATGTGTCCCTTTCACATCGATGTTTCTCTCTCTCTCTCTCTTCCTCTCTCTCCCTCCCACTCTACCTGAACAAAAAATGTGTTCGGGTGAGGATAAAAAAAAAAAAAAAAAAATCACTCTTTGCTCATACCTTTGTTGTTCTGCAATCCTAACTTTAAAAAAAAAAAGTTATGAGTGAAATAGCAACTCCCCATATTCAACACCTCTACACGCCCCTTGATTGACAATGGCTATACCAACAAAGTTATTAATGTGATAAATGAGGTTGCTTGTTCAGTTAGCCCATCTAAGTACAATTAACAAGTTTCTCATGGTTACTCTCAATTTCTGCACTGATCTCAACATGAACTGGTAACAGGTAGTTTAGACTGGCATTAATCGGAACCACACCTAGGATTGCGCAGGCCGGGGCTCCAATGCAATGCTGAGAGTGGAAGGGACCGGCATGGGATACAAAAATAACTTCCTTTTGGTTTCCTCACTCTTTCTGTCTTTCCCAACTCTTCACCTCTCCTTGCTCTCCCGGCAGGTCAGGTTTACCCCTGGGGAAACCAGTTCCAGCCTAACCGCACCAACCTATGGCAGGTAAGACATACGCTCCTCACTCCTGTCCTTTCTCAGAGCATTGAGACCTGCTGCAGCCTCGGCATTGTCAGGCCGTGGGATTCAGAGGGCTTGTGGTCAGATGGAACGGACAGCTGGTAAAGGGTGAGGTGGAAGACAAGGTGGTAGTGCAGAGCGGGTGCGGGAGGAAGTCATTCATTGTCTGAGAGTGCTGGGGTGACTTCACAGAGAAGGTGACATTTGAGTTGGCAAACAGGAGTTTGCCAAGTGAAAAGTGGAGTAATGTTGCAAGCATAACAGAAGAAACAATGTGAGTGTTGGCTCTGTAGTAGGAAAGGGTACTTTGTGTTCGGAAGGAAGACACATGGGGGGAAATGGTGGGTGAAAGGTTAGGAGATGAAGTAGACAGTAGGTTGGAGGCTGTTTTTTTTTTTTTTTCTATTTATCTTCAGATAGAGTGGGAGGGAAGGAGAGACAGAAAGGGAGAGAAACATCAATGTGAAAGAAACACATCAACTGGTTGCCTCCTGCGTGACCCCGACCAGGGCCAGGGACTGAACCAAAGGTACATGCCCTTGATCGGAATCGAACCCACGACTCTGGTCTGCGGGCTGACACTCTAACCACTGAGCCAAACCAGCCAGGGCGCCAGTGGAGGTTTTTAAACAGGGCAACAACATCAGGTTGGGGGATGCTAATTGTTGCTGATTTGTGCGGGACCAGAGTAGAGCTGCAGAGGTGGCAGGGGGTCCCTAGACTTGAGTCTGTGGCAGTGGCCCAGGTGATTGTAAACACTTCAGCTAAGTGGAAGTGCAATAGAGAGGAAGCCAAATGGAAGAGTATGTCTGAGAAGACAGACAGGGTTTGCTAATTACTCAAATGTGGAGGAGTGGAAAAGAGTTGGCCTCAAGCAGGAATCCAAGCTTGGGCAACAGAGTTCCCTCACACCTTCGCCCCTCTCCTTCCCCTCTCCTTTCCCCCTCTCCTTCTCCCTCACCTTCCCCCCTCCTTCCCTCCCCTCCTCCCCACCTTTCCTCCCCTTTCGCCCACTTCTTTCCCCAGGCAAAAAACTTAAAAAGTAAAAATTAAATAAAAGACATCAGTAGCAGCCCTAGCACGTAATAGGTGTTGTAAATTACTGCCCTTCATCTTCCCTTTGATAAGAGCAACTTCTGTAGAGTCGTGGCAGCTGCACTCAATTTTAATGAGAGGCATTAATGAGTAAAACAAATTGCATTTGCAAATATACTTTAATTTTTGAAGAAATTTGGTGGTAACGAGCAGGAGAGGAGCAAGGAGAGTCAAGGCAGTATGAGGCAGAATTAAACCTCTCTTCCACCACCTTGGGACAAGAGGGCATAGGACGGGTATCAGCGGTTCCTGAGAAGGTGGAGGGTGCATGGAGAAGGGGAGGAGGAGCCCTTCTTCCCGAGGCACCAGCACATGGGGTTCGAGGCAGAGGGGAGGCAGCCTCTGAGAGTGGAGAAAGGGTAGTGGGATGTGCTTGACCACTGCAGGCGCAGGGGAAACCACACACTTCCTGACCCAGCCAGGAGGTCATGGTGGAGGACATGAGGCAGCTGGTTTGGGAGCTCAGGTCGGGAACCCCGGTCACTGCCACATGACCTTCCCCCTATTCCAGATGATAGAGCACGATGACCTTGGTTTTCCTATGGGCAGGCAGGAACATCTGCCATGGGGCAGGACGGCTAATCTTTTAGCCTAAATCTCTTCCGCTCAGGGAAAGTTCCCCAAGGGTGACACGGCTGAGGACGGCTTCCATGGAGTCTCCCCAGTGAACGCATTCCCCCCACAGAATAACTACGGTAAGATTTCTCATCGGGTTGCTGTCAACATTCACAAGTGGGCTGCCGGGAGCATTCTGCCTGGTAGGTGGGGCAGAGAGAAGCACCACCGGGCAAGCATTTGCTCCCGGGGCTCTGATGGCCAGCAGGTGGGTGTGGTGCTTCCCAGCTGGAGCTGACCCACCTGTGCTGCAGGGCTCTATGACCTCGTGGGCAACGTGTGGGAGTGGACAGCTTCGCCGTACCAGGGTGCTGACCAGGACATGCGTGTCCTCCGGGGGGCATCCTGGATCGACACATCCGATGGCTCCGCCAATCACCGGGCCCGGGTCACCACCAGGTGAGGTACTTGCTGGCTGGTGGCTGAGGGTCTGGGACCTGGCCTCTCAGAGCCCAGGTGGCACCACAGCTGGTATTGGCACTGCTTCTGCACCTCTGCTTCTACCAGGAGATGTGGGTACCAAAAGGGGAGCAGGCAGCCTTGCCGGGAAAAACAAAACAGTCCAGGACAACTTGTGTCTTTTCTTCTCAGCACCCAGGGAAACTGTCCAGCGTCTCAGTTACGTGGGCTTCTCTTCTTGTGCAGAGGGCGGGAAGTAGAATGGCCACATGAATAGGTCATGGCCATGGGTCAGGGAAATACTCCTCTTTCCCAGGTGGGCACATGAAAAATCATTTTCTGCAACCGTTTTGATGTACAGTCAAGTTAGAAATGAGCTCAGGTGGGTCCGGGGACCTGCTCATTTCACACAGATGGTTATGGTGGCACCCAAAGGGTAGAGTCCGGGGCTCTGGTTCCCTTCTAGGACTTTCTGCTTCGTTCATGTGTAGATTTATTTTGGTTGATCTCCCTGCATCTCCTATTCTTTGGCTCCATAAGGACTTCGGAGGCCACTGTTCCTGTGGAGTCAGGATGATCAAATTTTCAGGTGTTTCTTTGACCCATAGAGGCCCTGGATTCTCTCCCTTTCTTTTTTAGGACAAAGTGGTAGAACAAGTACTGGCCTAGCAACCAGGAAACTGGGTTTGACTCTGATTCTGTTGTGCTGTTGAAGCAGCAGTTGGCCTTGGGCAAGACACTTAAATCTTTCTAGTATCTGCTCCTGGGTCTCCAAAATGGTGAACAAATCCTGCCTTCCCGAGCAGTTGGGACATGGCAAATGATATGTGAAACCTCTTTGAAAAGTTTGAAGGACCGACTGGCACTATGACATTCTCACTTCTTGCAGACAGGTTTTTCCGGCTGAGTTATTCCTAACTACTGACAATCAGAGTTATTAGTCGTGGCCTTTCCTGCCTTCCAGTGCAGTCTCTCAGGACCCCTTCACTTCCTCCACCCTGTCCCATAGCCACTTCGTCCCAGGAGTGCCCTCTGACCAGGCTTCTTTGCAGACCACGCCCTCCGCTGTCCTAGTGGGAGGGTTGGGGGGGGGGGGCAGACTGCAGCAAGCCCTGGGAGGTGGAACTGGGAAGCTGGGTGAGGCCCAAGGCCCCTTTCCCTACAAATGTTCATTCCCTCTCCCCTTCTCTGGTGGCAGGATGGGCAACACTCCAGATTCAGCCTCCGACAACCTAGGCTTCCGCTGTGCTTCCAGTATAGGCCGACTGCCTGGGGAGCTGTGAGGGGCCGTGCAGAGCCCAGGAGAAGATTCCCCCCCTCCCCCGTGGGGACCCATGCCACTCCCTGGCCACATTCCAAACAGCCAGACTCAGCGCTCTTCAACCTCAGCCTCGGGAAGGACAGCCTTCCCCTCCGGCTGGGCACCTCTCCTCGCCCGGCCGCAGAGGCGGCCACTGTTTCTGGGTGAAGGAGCCCAACTTACTGGTTGTGGTCCGGGGCTGAGTGTTTCTCTTAGAGGTCACATCGCAACCAGATAGGGGCCAAATACTCAAGCAGCTGGGGCAGAGTACTCTTAAAGGCAGTTTGTTAAAAAAAAAAATCTTAAATCTGTTCCCTCCCCCGTTCTCAGTGTCTGATTGAGGGATCTGACCTTGTCTTCTCAGGGCAGAATTTCCCCCGTTCTCTTTGTTTTCCCAACAAATTGCTGCAGAAAGGAAATGCTGCTTTTGTGTGCGTCATGTGAAGTGTTTTATGTGCGTCTGGAGGAACCTAATTTTCACTCTGTGTGAAGTGCAGTAATGTGGGCTCTTTCAAGTGCAATGTCAGTATTTAAAGGGGCTCAGAGAACCAAGTATCTACCAGGCCAAACTGTGCATCATGCAAGTCAAAGTAAATAATACTCCAGAAAGATGAACACGAGAAGTTTCCCTTTCTATTGTTGATTACGTAAGGGCTTCCATATGCCTCTAAAAACCTGTCCCCTTGAGAAGAACCTGCTCCCATGGTGTCCCTGGACACTGCGAAGTCAGTAAAGTCTCCTGTGACCGTAGATCTCTGAGTTGTCATTTATCCTCACCCTGGGACCCTAAGGGAAGTGCATCTGAGTGTCAGTGACTGGGCCTCCGGTGAGGAGACACCGAGGTGGTGGTACGACTGGGCAGGGGAGAAGCAGAAAGGCTCCTGGTGGGACCACGTCCGGTCCCCTCCTCTGGTCCCGACCCCAGCTGCACTTACCAGTGTGTGATGGGTGAGCCCGCTCTTCTTGTGCAGAGCCTCAGAGAGGGGACAGAGGCCCAGGTCCAGGGTTCCTGGCGAGGACCCGGTGCCCCCTCTGCAGAGTCCAGCACACATCTCATCTCTTCGACGAATGTTTCCGTGGCTCCCCTCCCTGCCTGCCCCGCCCCCCTCCTGCCAGCCCCTCAGTAGTCCTCCTCAGCCAGGGAGAGGAGCACGGCCTTGGGCGTGTTCTCGAAGAGGGCGGCCCGGTTCTGCTCCTGGCCCTTTTTCACCCAGTGGCCGTAGATGCGGAAAGCCTGGGCATCGATGAGTCGGCGCAGAGGCCGGAGGGCGTAGGGGTCACGCATGACGACCTCCCGGGTCACGGGCTTCACCCGGTGGTACTGGTAGTAGATGCGCACGGAGGCCAGCACGGTCAGAGCGATCACCTGCGGAGGGAGGGCCGGCACAGAGCCTGTTCTCGGGAAGCCCTGCGGGCTGCGGTGGGCCCTCCCCTGTCCCCCCACCCCTACCCCACCGCATCCGCGCGCATTTAGACTGTCTGTCGGAGCCCATCAGCTGACATCTCCTCCCTAAAGCCAGAAGTTCCCCGAAGCATCCTGGGTGCATGATTGGGGAAGGGCGGGTGCCCTGGAAACCCTAGGCAGGTAAGTAGGAGCCCCTGGGGGAAGGAATGGACTTGGGAGCTGGGACTTGAGGCAGCAGCTGCCCCAGGCCTGGGACCGGAAGGGACCTCAAGTACCTTGAACTTCCCCCGGGGGCTGAAGTGCCGCACTTCTTCCGCAACATACTGCTGGAAGAAGGGGTGCGCCAAGGCCTCCTCTGCTGAAAGGCGGCCTTGAGGGTTCACCACCAGGAAGCGGGAAACCTGGGAGAACAGGGTGGGTAGCGAAAACATCAAGGCAGGGCCCTGTCAGCACTCCGGAAGACATGGGTCTCCTGGCAGACTCCATCCTGCACGGCACCTCCCCTCCCCCCATGGTGGACTTCCCCTTGCCTGAGCCCAGGAGCCAGGGGGCCTGGCCCCTCACCAAGTCTTTCACCGTGTCCGAGTAATCATCCCACTCAGGTGAGCCAAACTGGTAGCTGCCATTCATGATCATCCTCAGCATCAGCATCTGCTTCCGGTGCCAGAAGGGCGGGGAGCCAGCCAGCAGGGTGTACATGATGACTCCTGTGCTCCACCTGGACCAGGCGGGTGGGGAGGAAGGCAGGAGGGCTGGCTGTGGCTCCAGGCAGTTCCTCCCCTCCCCAGCCAGGTGTTCCTGGCCATGGTGGCATCCCTGTCCCTTGTCCCCAACACACTCACATGTCCACCTCCTTCCCATAGCCTGGGTGGTCCTCATTCATGGAGCACTCAATGATCTCGGGGGCCAGGTAGCTGGGGGTCCCACAGATCTCTATGGGAATAGTTACCATCCGGATAGGTCAGCAGGGGCTCTTAGAAGAAGAAGGTCCAAAGAAACAAGATGGAACTGAAATGGTGCTTGGGCTGGGACTCTCCTAGCACTAGCCCACTTCAGGGCCAAGAGCAGGACCAGGGCTGGCTCGTAGGGCCCCCCGCATGGGGCCTGTTGGTTCCTTGCTCACGTCTAGCCATTCTGGCCTAGAACTCGGGCAGTGGGAACCTGGCTCAGCCCAGTCCTGAGAAGAGGGCCTATCTGAAAAAACATTTAGCCCTGAAATGATAGCATTTTTATTCTGGGGGGATGTAGGGGAGAAACCCAGACCATCTCTGTTTCTGGGAGACATGATGAGAAAGCATGAGCCCCTGGCACGGGCCCAAGCCATGCTACCAGACCTCGTAGCTTCTCTCCCGGCTTCAGCTGGCAGGAAAAGCCAAAGTCTGTGAGCTTGATGTTCATGTCATCGTCCAAGAGGATGTTCTCGGGCTTCAGATCCCGATGTACGATGTTGAGTTTGTGCAGGGTGCAGATCACCTCCAGCAGGGCTCTCATAATCTTTCTGGAGAGGGACAGGCACATAGTACTCTTATCTCTCACTCTCCATGGTCAGGTAGCAGGTAGGGAGACCAGAGCCCACGCCAGCCAGACTGCAAGTGAGAGAGGACTCGGGACAGGCTGGGACAGTCTAGGCTGAGCCCAGGAGGCAGGAAGGTCACAAAAGCCAGCGATACACACCCCAGCCACACCAAGTGCACTCCATGCCCCTCCAAGAGGTTGGTGCCTGTACCACTAGGACTCGGAAGTGGGGAGAGGGACAAGTGGATCCTCACCGGGTTTCCTTCTCACTCAGGGTGACCTTCTCAGTCAGGTAATCAAAGAGCTCCCCTCTCTTCATCCTGTGAGGACAGAGGGTTTGTAGCTGGATCAGTCCCAAGACCACCCCCTTCTTGCCCCGCTCCCAGGAGCTGTTTCTCAACCTAATACCTCCAGAGGCAAAGGACCACGGCTGCAGGGAGGAGCTGGGAAGGGAGTGGAGGGTTCTCTAGGAAGGTTGGAAGAAGAGCAAGGGATCCTGGAGGGGTGGGATCTCCCCCATCTGTGGAGGTGACAGCATGGACTGGATCTATCAGGGCCAATCAGGGCTGGGAGGTGTAAAGCCGGCCCAAGGCCCCCCTGACCCAAGGGCCCAGACCCAGTTCAGAAGAACAGGAGTATCTGCTTTGTTTCCAGGCACAGATAGAAGGAGTGGCAGTACAAGTGTCAATAGAGCAGTTTTGCCTATTTTAGGATGAAGAATTACAGTTCAATCTTCTCATTGCTTTGGATGATCTATCAAGAGGGCTCTGCTAGAACAATCTAGTTGTAACCTGGAGGGCAACCTGGGGCAGCATTAAAAATAGATTCTCCAAGCAACTTCCTCAAAGGTTAGGGACATCTGAGCTGCCACCAAGGACAGTGCCACTGAGCGGAGCTGGGACAGCTGCGGCCAGTCCGGGCTGTAGGGGTGCTGGGAAGCCTCCCTGTGTCCGGTAGGAAAGGTGCACCCTGCGTCCGCTCACTGCCCCTCCAGAGAAAGCGGTTGGAAGCACCAGGGATGTTGGCAGTGTCCCAGAGAGGTGAGAAAACCACTGAGCTTAGCTGCCAGGGAGGGGGGTCGTGTTTGAGGAAACTTAGAATTTACAGAGATGAGCCCTGGCCAGTTTGGCTCAGCGGTTAGAGCGTTGGCCTGCGGTCCAGAGAGACCCGGGTTCGGTTCCCGCTAAGGGCATGTACCTCGGTTGCAGTTTGTCCCCGGCCCTGGTTGGTCATGTGGGTGGCAGCCACTCGATGTGTCCCTTCACGTCGATGTTTCTCTCTCTTTCTCCTTTCTCTCTCTCCCTCCCACTCTATCTGTACAAAAAATGGAAAAATATCCTCAGGTGAGGATAAAAAAAAAAAAAAAAAAAGAATTTACAGAGATGAGCCTTGTTTTATACAGTATCTGTCCTGTGTTCCCAAAAAGCAACGTGTGAATCCAGTTTTTGTCATTTCAAAGGCACTGGAAGAACCCACTATTAGCAGCAGCAGCAGCAGCAGCAAATGGAGTTACCTGTAAGGAACCGGGCCGCGAGGCTCCTGCCTCCCTGGAGCTGGCGGCTTAATCGTACACACACGCCCACTTACGCTGTTTCTCCAAGTGAAATGACACTTCGGTGCAGCCACCATATGAAATGTTCCAACAATACAAAATCCACTTGAATAATTTTCTCAAGAAATTGAATCCCCAAATCAGCTGTTTTGTACAGAGAAAGGAGGATCCCCCCCTTTGCCAGTGAAGCCCGCAGCAGAGATTCCTGTTCTTGAGGGAGCACTCGGTGGAGTGGGGAAACGGAGCCAGCGAACCCCTCTCCCTGGGAACCTTTCCTAACAAAAGTGGTGATAAGGCCGAAAGCACCATTCACAGAGCACTATCTGTTGTTCAGATGTGATGCGAGAGTGGTGACAGGCAGAGTGGTCGGTTTCATTTTTTTCTTTCTTTCTTTCTTTTTAAATCCTCATCCAAGGATATTTTTCCACTGATTGAGAAACATCAACATGAGGGAGACACATCGACTGGTTGCCTCCCGCACAACCTCAACCAGGGCTGGGGCTCGAGCCACAGCCAAGGTACGTGCCCTTGACCAGAATCAAACCCGAGACTCTTTGGTCTGCGGGCCGATGCTCTAACCATTGAGCCAAACTGGCCAGAGCTCATTTTTTCTTTCTTAAGGAAACAGAGGTTCTCAGAGCTGACGGGCCCTCTGGTGCCTGTGAGTGGCATGGAGCTCCTCCCAGTAGCCCTGTGGGCAGATGCAGGGGAGAGTGACACTGGTGATCATGATGATGTCCATCTTAGAACCGCACCCGAACACAACCTCTACCTCCCAGGTGGTCTCTTGCCCCAGTACTGCTGCCTCCTCCTTTCTGCTATGGCCTCCTGACAGTCAGAGAATCCTTTCCAAAAGTAGATCTGATCACATTACCCTCCTGGTGTCCACCCCACAAAGTCCTTACCATAGCTAAAATGCCTGCGGAATCTGACCTTGGTACTAACCGACCTCACATCCTGCCACCACCACAGGCTTGCTCCACTCCCCCACCCTGGCTTCCTTGCCGATCCTCCAACATGCCAAGACCATCCATCAGGGCCCGGATTCCTCCCTCACTTCATCCAGGTCTCTGCTCAGGTCACCTCCCAGAGAGACCTTCCCTGACCATGTCATCTACAGAAAAGAAGGCCCTGGCTGGTTTGGCTCAGCTGTAAGAGCATCGCTGGCAGACCGTAGAGTTGTAGGTTTGATTCCTGGTCAAGGACATGTACCTGGGTTGTGGGTTCGATTCCCTGCTCCGGCTGGGGTTGTGCAGGAGGCAACCAATTGATGTGTCTCTGTCACATCTATTTCTCTCTCTCCTTCCCTCTCTAAAAAAGTCAAAAAATATCCTGCCCTGGCCGGTTTGGCTCAGAGGTAGAGCATCAGCCTGCGGTCCGGAGAGACCCAGGTTCGGTTCCCACTAAGGGCACGTACCTCGGTTGCAGTTTGTCCCCGGCCCTGGTTGGTTGTGCAGGTGGCGACCACTCGATGTGTCCCTTTCACATTGATATTTCTCTTTCTCTCTGTTCCTCTCTCTCCCTCCCACTCTA